TTATTTATTTATTTATTTATTTATTTATTTATTTAACTTGTCCCCGCCCATCTCCCCACAAAGACATAACTGAATTGAAATTGCCCATCTGTAGAGGGCCTGCAGAAAGTCCCCCCTCCTTGCAAGGCACATGTGGTGTGGAGTAGATGATAGTCTTTCTCAAAGGTAGCCCCCACATTGTGGAACATCCTTCTTCTGACGGTTCACGCTGCCCGATCCTGTTTGCATTCCACAAACTAGTGAAAGTTAGGATTATTCCAGTCTTCAGCCCTAACTGATTCTGGACAGCCATTATAGCCATTTTTATATATTGTTGTTTTCATTATTTTCACGTTGCACTTAAATGATTTTTGTTTTGCTGTTAGCCACCAAGAGTCTGTACGATTGGGAAGGGTTACAATTATTGTTAAATAAATAATAACTAAAACCATATTATAAACCATCTTTGGAAACTTTTTGCCCTAAAATGCAGGATTGAAAATAGATATAACTGTTTATATTGATTGTAGAGACATCAGTATGAATTCCTCTCTGTTTCAGCCCTAGTTCCAATGTCCTGGTTGTCTTTCAAAGAGTGCACATTTTATAGTTTCTTATTAATATATCCATGTTCTTTTGCAGAATACAAACCCCGGTTTGTCCACACTCGCCAAACTCGCTCCTTATCTGTGGAATTTGAAGGGGAAATATACAATATAAATCTGGAAGAGGAGGAGGAGGAGGAGGAGGAGGGGGAAGAGGAGCTGCATGTTCTTCAGCCCAAAAGCATTGTTAAGCGGCATGGAAGTTACAGTGAGGAGGAGGAGGAGGAGGAGGAAGCAGAGGAAGATCATTCAGAAGATGGTGGTGGAGTTAAAGCAATGCTTGCTGATGGAACTAACATAGTTGGCCAGCCAGACTCTGTCAGAGTTACTCATAAGTAGGAGTGCTTTACTTATTGCTTTTCATTATTTATTCAGAATCATCTATGTGTTATCCAGGGTAGCATAAGTAAAGATAGACCCAGGGCATATTTAAAGGATAGATCCTAGGGGATACATTTTGAGCAAAGAGAATTTCTGCTTTTCATTTGAGGATGCATATCAAATGGTAAAGCCAAAGGTGCTTTGATCTATCTAGAAGGAGTACAGGAGATCTGAAACATCAGAGTCAGTGTAGCATATAAGCCCTTTGCCAATCTCCCTGCATGGCCATTCCCTCTGTTCCCTCCTTCCCTCAGTGAGCAGGAAGATCTAAAATTATTTTTTACCTGAGCATGAGGAGCACACTCAGCCTGACTGGGAATTCATGATGGGGCAGGTTCATGATTGCATGGTGGATTTTATTCAAATGTGAGCAAAAGCATCTGGATACCCTCTTTTCTGCTTAATGCAGGATAGTTGAGAACCAAGAGGACAAGAATGGTACATTTGAGATGGGACTAGCTTGCATAGCCTTTGCCTCATGCATGTTTCCTATTTAAGCATGATGCCTGAACAGGACTAGAGAGACAATACCATGTAAGTGTTGCAGCAGAAGATGTAATAAGTGTGAGGGGTAGAATGGGGAGTGTCATTTAAGGGACAAGGAACTATTCTGGTGACTGACTGCAGTAGATACATTGTGATGTATCAGTTAATAAGGGGAGCAACACTATGGAGAGTTTTTAAAGGTAGGATAAGAAATGTATGATGCAGGTAGAAGGAGAAAAATAATTTAATAATTCTAGGGAGGGTTTGTATAATTTAAATATTGGGAAATGAGGTAGATATATTTGGAAGCAAATATCTTTTCTTGGAATGTTCTTCATTGTTCATAAGCTCAATAGGCTGAATTGGTGACTTAATATTTAGATACACTGTCCTAAGACATTGGTATTGCTTTCTGTACAGAAATTTTTAGACCAAGCACTCACCACAGTTGACTGTTATGGGATGTTGGAACTCCAGAAGTGAAAGTCATGATTCACTTATTTATGCTGTGCAGATTCCTAGAATTTAGACTGGGCAAGATATCTCAAATATATCACAGTTGTTGTTTTTTTTTCCTCTTCATTCTTTCTTTACAGGTGTTTTATTCTTCCAAATGACTCTATTCATTGTGAAAGGGAGCTATATCACTCAGCCAGAGCTTGGAAAGATCACAAAGCCTACATTGACAAGGAGGTTGGAAGGCCTTTTTCTTAATTCAGAATTAGTACTGGTATCTTGACACAGAATAATTTAGCAGAAAGTATATGATAGATGAAAATTTGGAACAGGATATTGCAATTAGGTGCAACTTCCTGCATATCGATATACACAATAAATGCACTTGGAGGTAATGGTAAACCGTAGTTTAGTGTTATGTGAATGAGAGTCAGATGTATCACAGCTTCTCTCTCTTCCAGTATCTCTTCTTGTATAGAAGATTCCCACTTTCATTAACTATGATTTCTTATAAAATGCTAATCTGAACAAACTATGTAGTCTTATTTACAATGATACAAACAAGACAGCTTCAGACCATGGGTCCTGATTCTGGTTTGGTTCCCTAAACCAGCCTTCCCCCACATGAAACTTCTTAAACCTTTAAAAACAAAGCCTCTTTAGTTGTCCTCATCACATAACACTAACGAACACTCTATGGCCTTAGGAAGATAATTTCTCAGTGTCATTTCACCATGTCTGAACTTGCTATTGCAGTGGAATGTGTAGTTATACAACAATCTACAAGATGTATTGTAACATATGAATGATTTAAAGAGGTGATTAAAAGCAATCATAACATTCATATAGCAATGATATGAAATAGTTTAACAGTAAAGATTTATCATGAACAATATAAGGATTGTGCATATAATAATGCAATTATACCAGCCATTCTTTTTACAGATTGAAGCTCTCCAGGATAAAATTAAAAATTTAAGAGAAGTAAGAGGACATCTTAAAAGACGAAAACCTGATGAATGTGATTGTAGCAAAAAGAGGTATATAAAACTTTCTTAAAACTTACATACTGTAATTAAATTTGGAAACCAATGTACACGGGATCATGATTAATTGTTTCCAAGCTGATTTTGTAGATAAATATGACAGCACATAAAGAAAGAAGTCATACAGTGTTGTTAGACAAAGTGTTATTTTACCTGGGTTTTGTTTCTTTATATAATTTTATTATTTTATGGAACTCTACCTATATAGTTACTTAAATTTCAGGAGGAATTTTGAAATAAGTAATCCTAAAGGCATTCTAAAAACAAAATTTATGATATTCCTGTAGCCCAGATTTTGTGTTTTGTTAATATAAAAAGTGATTACTACACAGCTTTCTGGTCAAAGTAAATACTTCTGAAGTCTAAGCAATTTTCACTCCAGATCTATGCTTCTTTGAAAGAGGCCTTCTATATATAGAATCAATGCAGTTTATATGCAGATTTTAAAATGTCAGCCATGTTTCTGTTTTAAATGGGCATTTTACAGAAAATGTATTATGTTATAATGTTTTTTATAGCTATTACCACAAAGAAAAGGGGGCAAAAGTTCAAGAAAAGCTTAAGACAAGTCACCTTCATCCATTCAAGTGAGTCTTGTTAATTTCCAGCATGTTACCATTCCAGCATACATCCATGAGACCAATCTTCCAATCTGGTTATTCACATGCTAAGGGAAATTTATCAAAAAATGTTTCACTTAGTGGTGTGGGATTTGGTCTAAGTGAAATATATTTAAGACAGAATTACTTGGTTGCATTTCAGTCTCTTTTTGTACCTCTCATGATCTTAACTTTATGATCATTTCACTGGAAATGACCTACCCAATTCTTCTTAGTTCCATTTTGTTCCGTTTTAAATGTACACTCTTTTCAATCTATAATCTGCAATCTTCAATCTGATTACAGTACATTTCCATCCACTTCCACTGGTGACATAAATACAAAGTAAAACTGACAAAGTTAAGTATCATAATTGCATAAAATACAACAAACCTACAACCACTCTGTCTTTCTAGGGCTACAACCAAGCATCACCTGTCTTGGATGGCCAGGGCAGAGATGTACAACTGTGTATCATAGCATACAGATTATCCCTAAGCCTGTGTCAATGGATGACCTCACCTAGCAGTTTTATTTAGAAGTTAAACAAAAGTGGAAGAGAGAGGATCCCTAAGCCATCCCACAGTGTAGATTTCTCTTCCCTCACCAAAGCCAACTGGAACAAGCCCTGAAGATAGGAGAACCACCATTACACTGTGCCTCCCATTCCCACCCACCCCCCAAGTCAATCCAGAAGGATACCATAGTGGATGGTATTAAAGGTCACTGACAGATCAAAGAGGGTCAAAAAGGACACATTGCTCCCTCCTGAGTCTGCCACAGGTTATCAAAAAGGGTTACATCCCAGTCCAAACTAAGCTGAAAGGGGTCTTTGTTGTTCAGTCGTTAAGTCGTGTCCGACTCTTCGTGACCCCATGAACCATATTGTGC